TTAGAATACAACTTTTGAGAAACACATTCTGATTTGACGTGTTACATTTCAAAATTTGTCTCTTTCCTGCACCCCCCGCCCCCAATATGTGGAATGCCCTATTCACAAAATGCCCCATCACCATTGCAACCACGCACACCATATAAGCATAAATCTGCATCCCAGAACGTGCAACATTAACTCACCTGAAGCCCTTTGATTGTGTGGAATCTAGCTCTTTGTCTGTTGCCGAGTCTGAGTTTTCCAGTAATTTTTGAAACCTCTGGATGCCCGTCTGTATACTCCTAGGAAAGGGGATGCTGAAGCAGTTGCCAAGAAAGAAAAGCAGAAGATCAAAATTTTAAGAACTGCATGTTGAGGAACGAGTGCAGAATTTGTACGGACCGCCAGGGTTGGTCCATTTGCTTCCAGCTGCTGAGAGGATAATTTTACAACATGCGACCTTCCAGATGTGGGTCCTGCACACTCAAGCTACCTGGGCAGTGTTAATGGATGGCTGCATATCTCCATGACTCCCTTTAAGCTAGAACTAACCTGGGTGCCCATCCCATCCAGGCTTCCACAGCAAAAAACGCAAAAGTGAAAACATTTCATTAAGCCTAATGACAGTGATTCAGCAAAAGTTTTGTCAACCAATCCAATAAAACAAACCGCAGGCAAAAGGAATAAGAATTGGGCACATATATTGGTGTCCTGTCAATGACCTTTTCTAATGCTTAAAAGCTTTTCAGATGCCTGGTGCCTACTCTTATGCAGCCCCCTTTCTTCTGGGGCAGCAAATGGGCACTCAAATCCTCATCAGCCAGCTCTTGCAGGCTCACAACCAGCCTGAGATTGCAGAACCCATGATTCCCAGTTAGAATGGAGATTGTAGTCAGGAGCAGAAGACGCTTCCCTGTGAAAGGCTGCCTGAAGCCTCCTCCCCCCCATTCCCAAGTGGTCCTCGCCCCCCACCACAAAAGGGTGGGGGATTAAGACCATTCGCCCTGCCTGGGCGGTGGGGGACGCAGGATGATGGGAACTGTAGTCCTCCAACTCCTTTGCAAGGCAGGGGACTCGGTGCATGCACAGATCATCTTCAATAAATCGCTCTGGGACCCTGAAGCAACCTAAGATCATCGGTGCAGGGAGGCAAAGGGGGCGGGCGGGGGGGGGAAAGAGGCAGAAATGCAGCAGGAAGGCTGGACCTGTTGGATTTCCGCCTTTCTTCCGCTGAAAAGCGGGAACCCCCAGCCTTTGCAGCCCTAGAAGACGGACCGGCTACCCCACTTTTTTTTCCCGGCTTACCCCGAGCCGCCCCCCAAGAGCCCCCGCCGGACGATCCCCAGCGCAGCCTGCATGGTTTCCCCCGCTCCGCCGTCCTGGAGCCAGAGGAGGCTTCCAAAGGGAAAGGGGCGGAGCCTCCGCCGCCGCCGGCGGTCAAATCTCGCGATACGCGGCTGGCGAGGAAAGATGGCGGCGCCCAGTGTGTGTTCTCCTGAGCAGGAAATGTCTTTATCCGTGGGAGATTTAAGCCCGCCCGCCCCGTTTTTTTTTAGGCTCTTATGGCGCTCCTCCGCGGGGTTAGCTTCGGGGAATTCCCTGCTGGAATGCAAGCCGCTCAAGGAAGCCGTGGGGGTTAGGGTTCCCTTGACCGAGCAGGGGGCTGGACTAGAAGACCTCTTGAGGTCCCTTCCAAGTCTCCCTCTTCTGCTTTGCTTCTGTTCTGTTCCATTTTCTACGCCATGCCATGGCATATTCTATTCCATTCCATTCCTCCTTCCGTTATATATTCAAGATGGACAGTATTTAATATTTATTTGCTACGTACATGTAGGGATGTGGGTCTGTACATATGTTGTTCATAGTATGTTTAGGTGTGCGTCATGTATGTGTGTTTCACTTTGAGAGCGGGCAACTAAATTTCATTTTTGATGCGTGCCGTTGTGCCCACAGTAAAAAAAATGACAATAAAGGTTATCATTCCATTCCATTCCAATTTTCTATTCTATTCCTATTTCTACTCTCTATTAATTCAGCCTGACAATCCAATTTATATTCTATCCAATTTCTATTCTATTCCATTCCATTCCAATTTTCTATTCTATTCCTATTTCTACTCTCTGTTAATTCAGCCTGACGGGATTGGACTAGATGACCTCCAAGGTCCCTTCCAACTCTTATTGTTGTTGTTATTACTACAATTACTACTTCGGGTGGGGGATGTAGATTTGTCTTTGTCTTTCTAATCCCATCAGCTCCAAGCTTTCTGGCTCTAGTCTTTCTGAATAGGATTATCAAATCTGCATTTCTAAAAGCTGGTTTCTGCTTGGGGCAGAGAGACTTGGGGGGGGGGAGATGGTTTCTGCCTAAGAGTTTCTATTATTCCTTTGGGGAAGTACAATATTCTGCCTTTTTAATATTCCCCAAAATATTTCTTTCTTGGGTGTGTGTGTG